GAAATGAACGAATAAAACTTTATTTAGCCAAACAGCTTGTTTTTTATTTTTATATAACTAAAAATTATTTTTATATTTTAATTTAACTTTATTATAAATACTTTTTAAACTCAATTGCATTAATTTTGTTAATTAATTTTTAAATATGTAGTATCTGTTTCTTGCAAATTTTTCAAAAATTTTTACAATATTTGAGAATTCATATCATGTTTTATTTTTAATCTTTTCAGCTAACTGTTTGAAAATTGTTTTGCTAACAAGTATGCACAAGTTTTTTTATTCAATTGATAATGTAAATTAAAAATTTAATAATTTTAACAGACTTTAAAAATTTTTAAATTGTTTTATTATTCCTGTTTAACCACTACGTTACAACAAATTGGTCTCACTGGTTAAAATACTTCCCATTGTGCCACAATGCTGAAACTTTGCAAGTAGACTCATAAAAATGCATAGGTTTGTGGAAATTTTTTAGATTTTAAACCGGAAGTTTAAAAGTTGATCCAAAAAGGGAGTTTTTGGATCAACTTTTAAAATCAATTACTCAAAAATTACTTAAGATGTTTAAATTTTGTTTTTTTGCATGTTTTTATACGTGTTTAACTACATTTTTACTAAATTAAAACAATATTTTGGTAACCGGAAGTACCAAAGTCTAATGAGAATTTTGCACTTCCGGTCAATATAAACTTAATTTTTATAAATTTAGACTCCTTGTAAGATTCTACCTTAATGTTGTACTACTTGTTTGTACATTGAACAATCGAATAAAAAGTTAAAATTTTGAGTTTTTTTCAATAAAATATATTTTTGTCTCAATCTGTTATCAAAATGGAAAATCCTAACATTCTATTCGATTGTCCAATGTACAAACAAATTGTACAACATTGAGGTAGAATTTTACAAAAAGTCTGAATTTATAAAAATCAAGTTTATATTGACCGGAAGTGAAAATTCAAATTGAACTTTGGTACTTCCGGTTACCAAAATATTGTTTTAAAAAATTTCCACAAACTTATGCCTTTTTATGAGTCTACTTGCAAAGTTTCAACATTGTAGCACAATGGGAAGTATTTTAAACAGTGAACCCAATTTTTTGTAACGTACTGGTTAACTTAACTATCAAGCAAAAAACTAATTTATTATAATTGAACTTATTCACCTGAGTTTAATTATGTTTCTCAGCTCTAGTCTGTGCCTTAATAAAGTAAAAAATATTTTTTGTGCGTTACGCCATCTGCAAAACAGAATTCTAACTTGAAGGGCTGTTCTGCACACTGCAAGAAAATTTCGAAGCAATGTATTGCCAGAAACACTTTCCGTCTCTGCTGGCGTTAGCCTCTGCTTCAATGGTCGTTGCTGCCCCGGGTTCTCCAGTTTGCTCCACCGCCGCTGCCCACTGTTTGGCAGACAATCGGCGAGGCTCACAACCGAGGCAGAAGCCGCGCTCTTTAGCTTTCCCTTATGCTTTTACTCGCATTGCTGCTGACTACTCATTCTGCCGTTCTCTATCGTCTGAACAGTTTACGGCAGACGACTTGAAACTCAGTTCAGCAACATTTGACTTGGTCACACTTGTCACTTTAATTGAGTTTGCAATTTTTATCAACGTCGTTCACTTTTCACATTTGCTTGCCCCACAACCAACCAGCTGGACACTGGTGGCAAACAACACTGCCATTTTGAATTTCTTTTTTTTGTTATATTTATAAAATACTCTTTTATACTACCGGTGATACTGCTTTACACATCTATTTGTTTCACTTTTGCACTTTGTCGTTGTTACTTTAAATAACAATTTCTTGTTTTGTGTTAGTTTCGCCGTTGATTAATTGATGTTTTTCTAATCAAGTGTTGCAGGTGAGAAACCACACGTTTGATAGTGTTAACAAAAGCATTTTTTGTGACTATTTATCTTTTTACACGTTTTTATTAGATAGCAAGCTAAATATTTTTTTCACGTTTTAAAAGTTATAAAAACATTCATTTTTGTAATAACAAAAATATTAAAAAATCTTTTTGTAGAATCATTTTCTTATTTTCTCATTTTTTATTCATATTATTATTAATGCGACTAGCTTAATGCTTATCAATAACATGCTCAGAAGTTTTGTTACTGAGCTATTACTGAGCAGCCATTAAGCTAGGCGCAATACCTATTATTATCACGCTTAAAAACTTTCACCACTTACAAGAACTTTGTTTCCAACTTTGTTTCTTCTACCACAGATCAACTTAAAAGCTTAAGCTAAAGCTAAAAATTGCAAACGGCAAAAAGAGAGCTAGCTCAACACTAGTCAGTCACCAGCATGCCGAAAGCAACAAGAAAACGACGGCATCGTCCGGCCACTCCGCCAGCAGCAGTAGTAGTAGCAGCGGTCAACAACTCTAATCAGCCTGCTGAAGAAGCGTCCGCCAATGGGGACCACAATGGAGTGGACGGGCCGGAAGAGCACTCCCACCGTTCTGCGGGGCAAGAGGAGCTGGAGGAGCACAACGTCACAGGAGTCGTCCACCGTAATGGCAGCAGCCAACCAGCCAACTCCAAAGTTCCGTCACCCCTCTCTCTCTGGAGCCACTCCGCCTCTGTGGTGGAGGGCCTGCGCGGGCTGAAGCACTGGGTCCGCCGGCAGCTGAGCGACCTGGACGTGAACAAGAGCGACGTCAGCCTCGACCGGGCGATACTGCGCCCGTTGCTGGCGGTGGAGCAGCTCACCCGCCATCCGGCCTTCTGGTACGCCCACCTTGGCGCGGTAGTGACCGGCCTGGGCGAGGGCTGCAGCGCCGCCTTCGAGGTGACCGCCAACTGGCTGCACTACGGCACGGTGGAGGCGATGAACCGCCAGGGAGGCGAGATGATGCCCACCAGGGCACTGGAGGAGTACCTCCGCTTTCTGGTGGCCGCCGTGGAGATGGCCGAACAGCGGCTGGCCAAGGGTCTCAGAGAGGAAAACGACGGCGGTGACAGCGACAGCGACGGCAGCGACACTAACGGCAACGGCAGCGGCCTAAAGCTTAAAGTAAAACGCCTGCGACGAGGCCTCCCCCTTCAGCTGAAGCTGACCAACCTGGACTGGATTCTCGGCCCCGAAAATGAGCACTCCTCACTGACGGTCAGCTATCTCACTGAGTCGCCGGTGAAAGCTTGGGCAGCAGCTTCAAAGCGGTCAAAACTGTCATCAGCATCAGCATCGGATCCGCACGCCACGCGCAGCGCCACAGCGAGCCATCTGGTGGAGCTGGTGCACTTCTCGGCCCCTACTAAAACTCTTCCCCGCTACCTTCAAGAGTTCACCCCCACAGAGCAGCTAGAAGAACTGGAGAGGGAGAACTGGCGAATTGTAGAGCAGACTGCCGTGCTGTACCGCCGTAACGCCACGCTCGCCCTCTCGGTGGCCATCTCGCTGGTAGAGAACCCCGCCGCGGAGATGGGCCGTCTGCTGAACAACGACGTTTTGGTGCCCTTTCTCCTGCGCAACCTCTTCACCATCACGAAGAGGGCGCCCCGACTAGTGGAGGCGGTGGCCACCATTCCCGTGGACCACCTGCAGACGGCCATCCTCTCCGTGGTGGCGCTTTTTCGCGCCTTTTCCGAGCTGAAACGGGCTTCCGGTGGCGGCAGAAGTGACGGCCGAAACATCACCGCCTGGCAGAAGCCTTCCTGGGTCAACGCCGATCTGCTGAACTGCCTCCTGCGAAAGCTGATCAAGTCGGGCGGAAGTGGCGGCAAGACGACCGCCGCCGCGACCACTTTTGCCATATTTGACCGGAAGGTCATCCGCTCGCATGTCTTTGCACTCAGGCGACGCCTGTTGTTGCTGCTGCAGTGTCTTGCGGAGGCCGTCTCGAGGCAGCTGGGCGTCACTGATGAGGCGTACCCGCGAAATTCGGCCTTCAAAGTGCCGCCTGCTTTAAATGAAGAGGAGGAAGAGTCTGAGCCGATGCACCCGGCACTTTCCATCGGCTACTTTGCTTACGGCACCAATGATGTCATGTACCAGCCGTATCAGTGGAAGGTTCCCATTCCTCTAAAAGCTCCGCCCGGTCCGGGAGCTGCTACTCAGTATTACTACACCGAGATTCTTCTCCTCACCAGCGGCTCCATGAACATCGGCTTTTACTTTGACGGTGATGCCGCTCCCATTGCCAGTGCCACTTCTACTGCCACTAATGCTAGTGCCAGTGCCAACCCGGTCACCCAAAGAAATACAGTAATGCAAAATTTCGAAATGAGAGTTTTGGCAACTGGGGATAAAGAGGCTTCAGCTGCCACCGCCCGCGCCGCCGCCGCCGCCGTCTTTTACAGTCCAACAACGGGCGAACTACTAGTCAATGGCTTCTCTTTGCCGACCAACATTACACAGGCGAAACAGGAGCAGGCCAAGCTCAGTGATCATTCACCAGGCAAAAAAAGTGAGAACCTGACCAGCCGACACAGCACCATCATTGGCGTGTTGCTGGAGACGGGCATTCCCTCTTTTTCTTCTTCTTCATCATCACCGGCAACTACTTCAGCTTCCTCATCATCATCAACTTCCGCGTCACAATCGAACACCAGTCCTACAGTCTATCTGCACTCTCACCACGCTGCAGTGACCTTCTTTGTGAACCACCTCAAAGTGGAGGTCACCTCAGAGGAAGATCTCGCCGATGCGTTTGAGAACTCCAAAGGGCAAAGAGGCACCATTGCAATGAAAAAATTTTTGAGCAAGTTTAGCAGCAATCTGGCCGCCTACAAGAGGAGAAACAATGGAAACTGTGGAGCAGCGGTGTTTACAGTGGCCCTGGCCGGCTACCAGGCCATTCTGTTGCATCGATCTCAGAGCAGCTGGTACTTTGAGAAGGACTCCAAGGTGGCCTACAACGTGGGCGTGGGAGGCGACATCAGCTGGCAAGAGTTTCCCCTGATGACCAAGCACGCCGATATTGAACGCTGGGAGATGTGCCATCTTCTCGGTTTTTCTGTGGTGGCCGGCATGAACCGGCCTCAATTTGAGAGGATGTTCCGTTCTGAGAAGGCTAGCTACGAGATTAAGAAGGACATTGCCAACGGCACTTATGGTCTGGTTTTTCAGTGCACTCAGACTCCAGTTCGCACGAGGAGAGAACCAGTTAGCGATGATAGCCACCAGGTGGTTGTCAAGGTGATGGAACTTAAAGACAAGTTCGACTTGAAGTCTATCAATCGAGAGCTGGCATTTATTAAGGCAATTGAAAAGGAGAAGGTAAGTGCAACACTTAATCCAACACAACATAACAAACTCTAAACTTTTGATTCTCTTTTTATTATTCAGTCTCAACTGTTTGTCAAGTGTTTGGACACGTTTTCCTTTACCCCAATCTACACGTGTCTTGTTTTTGAAACATTGGACATTACGCTGATGGAGTACTACACAAACAGCCCCGTCTCACTGCTTAAAATCAGATCAATTTTTTATCAAATGCTGAAAGCGTTGCAAGTTTTAAAAGTAAGTAACAAAATCATACGATGTATCTTTTCATAATGTAACTACATCAATTTTTTTGTTTCATCTTTCAATAGAAAATCAAATTCGTTCACGCCGACATCAAACCGCAGAATGTAATGCTAAGGAAGCCAAGAGAGGAAGACACAGAAGTGACCATCAAGCTGATTGACTTTGGTTTCTCCTGCTGCACTAGTGCGGCGATGCGCGGCAAACGGATGATCACCTTCAAAGGCGTGGAACCATTTGACCTGAACAAGATTGACGCCAATCTCTACACCAACGGCTATCCTTCGCCGGAGTGGCTGCTCAACATGGCCAATCAAGAGCTCTCTGATCTGTGGTCGACGGCGGTGACCATCGCCGAGACAGTCCTCTGTGCACCGCTGTACCGGCACATCTACAACTTCCCCCGGTACTCCCAGTTGGCGGCCATTTGGAACTTCTGCCGCTACACCCTGCCAGAAAACGCCTTTTTTCAACGTCTAAATGAAGACGGAAGGCAGTTCTTTACAAGAGAAGCATTGAGGGTTGATCTATCGCCCCCAATTTTGCAATCTCCGCCGACAAACGGCAGACCTTGGAGAATAAAGAAACTTTGGGAAATGACCAGTGCCTATCCAATAACTGAAACTGATAAACGTACTTTTATTAGAGAAGGCAAGGACTGGTCAAGCTGGGCTGTCAACACGGTAGAGGAGATTAAACCGAAAAGAGGGGAATTGTCCATTGCAAATCAGGACTTGCTTAAAAAGCTTCAAGATTTACTGAAAAAGATATTTATTATTGATCCAGCCAAACGCATTACCGTCAATGAAGCATTGCGACATTCGTTATTTCGTGCATAACTTCTTTCAACCAAACACATCAACTTAAATATCATCTTTCTGACATTCAAAATCCGTTTTAATACATGTCACAAAAATTGCACACAAGGTGCTCAATTTTTTCAGTATACAGTTGATCTCTTTTTTCAGCTTTTTATATTTTTTGTTTTAAATTTAGCATGCATACATATTTAGATGTTTTACTTCCACTTGCAATTAGAGTCTTATCAACAACACACAGTCAATTTATAATACCTGTGCCACACAATTTCCACTTGATGTTCTTTTAATTTCTAACATTTTTATTTTTTGTGATATTTTTATTTTTATCAACTTTAATTTACCACTTATTTTGAAAAACGTTATGAAACAGTTAAAAATGCTGCAATATTTTTTAACTTTGTTATTTATGATAACAAAAAAACCACCAATAAACACGTTTAACTATAGCACTTTTAACAATCAAACTGAGAAACTGATTTTCAACAAACATATCATTTTGTTGCACGTTCTTGCTTAAAATAAAAATTGCTATAATTGAAAAATATAAATTTAAAAGTTTTTAGTTTAATGAAATTTTTTATTGTTTTGTTTGCTTATTTTAAGTTCGACAATTGCAGTTTTTTGTAAAAATTTGATGTACAACTGTTTTTTACAAAACTAAGACAAAGTGATGCATTTCAAATAACTAAAACCGGTAAATAACTTGTGAGGCAAAAAGTATCCAAACATATTAGTAGGCGGATCTTGTATAGTTTTCACCTCAGCATTGCCTATTATCGCTACCTCACTCAATTCAAACTGATGAACTGTTACAGCAATCGGCAAGCTCCTCCCATGTTTATAAAGTGCTGCACATGCAGCCTTTGCTTGAGCAGTCAAAATAGACAAGTGACCAAGAGAGTTGAAATAGTGCTTTTATCTTGCTGCATAATTTTGCTCGCTGTGCTTTCCCGTGCTTTAAGTGCATTGACGCTGTTTGTTCCGATGCTTATCATTTTCTCGTCAAACATTTGCACCAGCACACACAAGTTGTGCAACTTTTGAAAAGGAAAAGCTGTAATTTTCGATAACATCTTGCTTCAAAACTTGCTTCGACTAAGTTTTGCCAAATTCAACGCAAACTCAATCCTGCCCGGTGATCTCTAATTTGTGCCAATTAAATTTTAAATTGCCTTTTTTGCTGGCTTTTTTTATTGCAAACTTGACAATTTACATTTAAAAAATTGACCATTGACCGTTGTTAAATGACAAAACTGTGTTTTTCATGTTTTGTAAGTACTTTTTTATTTACACTTTACTTTTTGTATTTATGCACATAAACTGCTGAGTTGTTTTTGTTTTTATTACAATTCAATTTTAAATTCAAGTTGTTCAAATTGGTTTATTTGTCCGTTTTAAACAATACTTGATGAAACTTTTTTACCATTATCTTGCAAAAGAAACTTATAGCAAACTTTGGTTTGCCACCAGTTTCAATCAATTAGAATTATCATTTTGCTAAGTGTACCTAAGTGCTAGTTAATAAATCTTAATTAAGTGCTTTTGACACACACACATTTTATCATTTTGTTCACTTTATTGCTGTCATCCTCTAGATTGATCTGAAGTGTGTGTCTGCATCATCATCATCATCATCACACTTTTAATCTCCTTTAATTTTGTTGTTATTCTCCTTACGCCCAAATGTGTGCACAACAAATGCGAAATAGCCGGCCAAAAGTTGCCGCATTATATAGCAGCAAACTTAGTGGTGACGGTGGCAGCAGTTACGGTCCAAGTTGCGGGGCAGCCGCCATTGACAGTCGCTCCAACGTTGATTTTGTTGTTGTTTGGCGCCGATGCAGCAAAGGTAGCACATGTGAGAGAACGTAGAGCATTTTGCAGAGTCGCCATCTGGTAGACGGGGGCCTGCTACCCACTCAGATAATGCACAAACTGTGCGTTTGGTCGTGCTGTTGAGTGTGTGTGTATTTGCTTGCCAGTTTTGCTCTTTACCTTTTGTGGTTTTCACTTACTCATTTGACTTATTTTCTTCATGAACTTCTGGTTTTTTGGTAAATATTGATTTGTTAAATTGTTAATGTTTCTCTAAAAGTGAAATCTCAAAATCAAGTTCATTTAAGTGGCCTTCATTGATTGGCGGCGCGCTTGCTCTCGGAATCACTTTGTTTCTTTTTCTGATTCTCACTTTTAACATTCTGTTGTCTGTTTTTTGTTGGTAAAAATAGTCTTTTATTTGTCAGATTGTTTTGTTGTTTACAAGTTTGTTAATTTGATAATCACTTTGTTGATTTTAATATACTTTTTATTTGTTTATTGCAGGTGATACTGTTTGCCCATCTATCATCTTGAAACAGTGTTGACAAGCTCAGCTTTACAACGTTTACAACCACCACAAACAATAGCAAATCATGTTGATTCGCTAAAAATCTGCATTTTTGAAAAAACAAAACGTAATCATTTTTACTTTAGCTTTTTGTATATTTATTAACTTATCATTTTTACTATAGAGATCTTTATTTTCAAACAATATTTATCAAAAACTGATCTCTTATTTGGATACCACAATACGATGGCTCAGAACGGCATCGCCTCTCACAATCGTGACCCAGATATTTTCAAACACCAATCAGAGTGTGAAACAGAGTTTCCTAATCAAGATGTTCTAGTGAAAGCTATTAAAAAGATGATCAATGCAAACGCTAAACTCAAGCACGTTGAAAACAAAATGAATTCAGTAATCAACAGCAATAGTCAACGATCAGTGCCAAACTCCGCAACTGGCAGAGTCACTCGCCAAAGTAATCTTTCAGTCAAGTGGCCCCTGAACGACATCAACGCCCATCAATCGACCAAACATGAAAGTGTTCAGAACAACAACAGATCCATTGAAATTGACCCGATAAAACAAACTAGTCGACGGCCTAAACGGGTTGTCAAAAAAGCCAAAGTCTCAAAGATCACCGGTGGTCAAGGGCATTTGCAAAAAAATAGCTCAGACGACGATGGCAAGAGCAGAGCCCCCAAAGACGAGGACTCCTCCTCCTCCTTCTCCTCATCGGAAAGCTCTTCTGACAGTCAATCCTCGTGGTCAGGTGGCGACAACAATGGCAGAAGTCCTGGCGGCAATGGGGAAGACAGTGATGATGGCTCAGATGATGATGATGATGGTGATGGTCAGAACGATCCCTACGACCAGATGCCCAATGGAAACGATGGCGATGATGGTGATGATGGTGAGGACGGAAGCGGCGACGACGACGACGACGACAATGGAGATGGTGATGATAACGATAACAATAATGAGAACGACGAAAACGAGGAGGAGGAGGAGGAGGCGGAGGAGGAGGACGGGAACTTTCTCGGCGACGGCGAAAACGGCACCGACTACACCGACTCGGAGGACGAGAACCCAATGGCGGTGGTGCTGCCGCCCGTCAACGCCCGCCCCAGCAACGCCTTTCCCCCGGAGACCGTCAACGAGCACCTGTCGGGGATGAAGGGGCTGATGCGGAAGATCATCGACTTCCACCAGGACGACTACAAGGTGGAGGAGCGGTTCAGCAGTGTGCTGGAGGACGAGGCGGGACTGCTCACCCACCACGCCGCCTTCTGGCCGACGTTGCTGGGCACTGCCGCCACCAATATCAAGAGCAACGTCTGCACCCGTTTCTGCTGGCTGCACTACAGCGCCGACCTGCTGCGCTCGCAGCAGGCAGGCGTCGCCATGCCGCCCGCCAAGGCCACCGCCGAGGTCCTCCAGCAGCTGCTCTGCCACCAGACGACGCTCAACTTCACCAGGATGGACATTCCCCACCGCTTCCAGACGGCGCCCTTCCGCCGGCCGTTCGCCTACGGCCGCTCGCAGTTCATCTACACCTTCAACAGCCGCTCGCTGATAGCTTCGCTCAACCTCTCCGTCCGCTACCAGGCCAGCCAGAGTGAGATCGAACTGACGGAGGACCCCGACTACCCGAAGTGGGCCATCTTCTCCGAGGAGACGGGCGATGAGGACTTCCTGTACATCAGCGACCGCCACTCGGACCGCATTCGAACTCTGCCCATCGCCAAGTTGAAGAAAGACCGGGAGCACCGGTACAATCGAAACATCTGCTACCTGGTGGCGATGCTGGTCATGCTCTACGATGATGATGATGATGATGACGAGGAGGAGGAGGGTAATGCAAATGCTGATGGTGGTGGGAGGGGGAGTGATGGTGGTGAAGGTGCCGTCCAGCCGCCACCACCGCCGGCCAACCGAGCCCGAAACCAGCAGCTGGAGCTAAAACGCCTGCTGAAGTACGCCAACCGACCGTTCGCTCGCAGCCAGAAAAACAACCCTCCCTTCTACTACGACCCGAGCGAGCTCGACCAAAACGGTCACCTGCCCCTGCAGCCGCCCGACACGACGCCCGTCCCGACGACCACGCTGCGTCGCTTCCTCCACTCCGCCGTCGCCCATGCCACCGTAGTGAAGGCGGACAGCACGCTGGACAGCATTCGCTTTGACACGCCCCCCGAGGTGGAGCAGAACGGCGCCGTGCTGCTCCATCTGTCGCTGCGGGGCGACACTGCGGCGATGACCGACGTCGGCGTGGCGATTCAGCAGACGGGCATTGCCGGGTGCATTGCCCTGCTGGCCATCGCCAAGGCGCTGCCCGACGAGCCGGCCAGCGAGGAGGGCCGCCGGAAGTACCTGCCGGCGGGCGGCGAGCTGGAGGGCTGTCTGGAGGCGCTGGCCAATCAGCCGGCCGCCTGGGGCATCTTCCCGGTGAACACCTGGCTGGCCACCTTCACCCGCGCCCAGCTGGAGTACATTCAACTGTGCGTCCTCAGCCAGGCGCTCCGCGCGGAGATGGAGGCGGTGGCGGAGTACGAGGAGGAGGACGTCGAAGAGGAGGACGAGGCTGCTGCTTTGGAAGGCGGTGAAGGGGAAGGACCAGAGGCAGCTGAAACGGATGATGATCATGCTAATAGCCCCGTCTGGGCGATCTACCCACCGCCGCCCACAACGCGAAACCTCAGCTACGGCTACTCGGTGCTCGGCGGCCACGACGTTGACCTGCATCCCTATCAGCTGCTCAATGTCGTCTGGCCACCGCCGCCGTTGCCGCTGCCCGATGATCACCAGGCCGCCGCCCCATCAACATCATCAATATCATCAGCAGGTCGTTTTCAAGCCGGTTCCAGTCGAGGTGCCAAACGCAGCAGCAGCAGTTTCAGTGTTCGAAGTGGCAAATCCTCCCGCTCCAGTGAACTGCTGCACTACAGCTACGTGGAGGTGCTCGTTCTCACGCCCGGCCCCATGTCTGTTGGCTATGCGCAGCTGATGAGCGCGGAGAAGCCGGAGTGGGTTAGCTGGTCACGCGGCGCCGTCCTCCTCAACGTCAACACCGGCGTGCTGACCGTCGACGGACGGATTTCCGAGAAGGAGATCAAAATCGCCTACAACGACAACCAGGCAATGGTGGTGAGCATCGCCCGGTGCACCACCGCCCCCTATGAGGTGGTCTTCTTCGTCAATGGCCGCTTTATCGCCCGCGAGGAGCCGAGGATTGACCCGAATTTCGACCCGGCAGTCCAAAGCGAGGCGGTGGAGGTGAAGCAAGAAGAGGAGGAAGAGGACGCCCGGGGACGGCGTGTGGGAACATCTTCAAGCTCTCAGCTGTCTGGCGAGGAGGAGCAGGAGGGGAAGGAACCGCAGACGCCCTCACTTCCAGTGCCGGAACTGCTGCTGACGGTGGCGCCCGGGTGCTACCAGCAGGCTTTGCTGTTGCGCCACCCCTCTCAGTGGCAGTGGGCGGGGGAGTGTGCCGTGGCGCTGAATCGGCGCACTCGCCACAGGACGGTCCGCTTTCGAGAGCTGGTGGTCAGCGAACGGCTGCAGGCTATTGAGGCTCGGATGATGGCCAGGGTCAATGGAGAAACGGAAGCGGTAGCGGAAGGTGAAGGTCGCCTGAGGAGGAGGAGGAGAAGGAGAAGAAGAAAAGTCAATATGTTGGCAAACAGAGGCAGCAGTTCACGAGTTCGTCGTCGTCGTTCGCCACCGGTGCGAGCGGCAGTTCCTTATGCCAATTATGTCAGACCTCCACTTCGACCACTGCCCAATTCGAATCAACCACCACTGGAGAACGGAAACGATGACGATCTTGAAGCCGCCGAAGCGGCCGCCTATGCCGCCGGTCCCTCCACTTCTTATGACTGGGCCTCTGCTGAACGGAGACGTCCATCCTCTTCAGCAGACCAACTGCCAAACAAACGAATTAAAGTTGAAGTGAAGAGTGAAGACGAAGAGAAGCCGATCATTCTAAGTGGCAGCAGTAGTAATCAGGGAGGAGGAACCGCCTTGAAGACTGATTTTGTCAAGAAGGAGGAGGACAGCTCGGTGACCATTGCTCTTGAAAACGCTCCTTCCACTTCAACTTTTGCCACTGCCAGCAGCTCAAGTGCTCCAACTGCTGATGATGCTGGCTCAGCTGAAACAGCTGTTGCAACACTTTCCTCATATGAAAGCGGCGCAAATGGACTTGAAGCCAGATCAGAGTCAAACAGTTTGATTGTGGTGGCAAATAATTCTACCATTTATGCAGAAGATTGTCTGCCAATTACTGGTATGTTTGTTTGCTTGCAATGCAACTTTTTTGTTTAATGTTTTTGACTAATATTTTTGTTTAAAGCTAATGTAGGCGACATTACAAGCAACATTAGCAAAGGCAATGAAGGCAATTTGACATCTGAAACAAATGCTGAGCAAAACACTGGCGCTGAACAAAATGAAGCACAAGAATCGGGACCACAAACAGTGCAAAACAATATGAATGCTTTGTCAGATTTAAACCATTTAAACAGTCTCATTGAGGGTGAATCTTTGAGTGTAAATCCTGCCGGGCTTGATATGCTTCTTTGTGAACTGGACAACTACCAAGACAATATTTACTTTGATTCAAAAATGGACGATTGAATGTGCGCATGTAAAACACACGTAAGCTGTATTGGCAAACTACATTTTTCAACATTTGTTATTATTTCTCATATCACAAATATCAATAAAAACTGTTTCCATTTGTCATTTCTGAAAAATGTATTTTTATTTTAATTGACATTTGTACATTTATTCATCTTTAAACATAAATCATAAACTTTATTACACTGTTCATTTGTTAAATAAAATTAATAATTGTTAAATTTAATTTGCATTATTTTTGACTGTTTAGTGCAGGCAAATTTTGTAATTTAGTGCAAAGAAAAATTTATACTGTACTAGCATCTGCATTGTTTAAATTATGTGCACACTCTAAAACAATTTTTAAAAATCAGATTTGATGTTCAAGTTGTTGAACAAGTTAAAATATAGTGTTTTACTCAGTTTAGTACAATGCTAAAATATTTGCAAATTTTTAAACGTTTGCATTATTAGATTTATTTTGTGGTAGAACCTGTCATCAGTGATACTGATTTTTATGTAAAATTATACTAGAAAAAGGTGCCCACTTGTTCTTTTGATTTTTCACGCTATGACTTTTTCCGTCAATTGCAAAGTAGAATTTTCATCCAATCAAATTATGTGGACTATAAAACACATATTCACTTTTCAATGACCTTCGCCTGTTTGGAAGTTAGTTGGAAAAAACTAAATGCGCATCTTTCGTAAAGTGACGCAGCAAAGTGGTTCAAGCAAAGTGCTTTTCAAAGGGTTCTCTTTATTGTTTCACGTAATTTGAAATGAGGACTGGAAAAATAATAATTACTCAAGCAGCCATAATTGACAGCCGTTGCATTAGCACTGGCTTTCCATTAGATCGTAAACACTCAGAGTGCCGTCGTCACTTTTGCTTTAGATATCGAACACAGAATGTTTCAAACGTGAATGCTCAGCAGCGTTTTCATTCTTTTGACTCACTTTTAACTCACCAAAATGAGACTAGCTTTAATAAATTTAGTCCTAATCATTGGCGCAGTTGTTACTATTGAGAGCGGCAGTGATGAGTACTGCAAATGGATGGTTTTAGGCGATACTACGCCTACCACTTGCAAGACTGCCCTGACTGACTGTGTCAAACCGTGGACTGAAATGGTCACCCACAAACAGATCCACAAGTTTATCCCAGCCGATCCGATTGCACTGAAGCAAACTTGCAAGTAAGTGTTGTGCGTTTTTAAAAGTTGCAGTGTACTTTACTTAAATTGACAAAGAAAACACAGATGTGCTCGTGTAGTAAACATTTTATTTACTGGTACATTTTAACTTGTTTGTTTTGTTTTTTAGGACAATGTCGTCTTTTGACCGCTGTTTGTCTAACTACACTCAAACCTGTGGTCGATCAGGTTTGCACCCGCTTTTCTATGATCTAGTGCAGGGCGTTCAAGGAATGTATGACGTGGCGTGTGCTGATGGAACTCAAGATCAGGACGGTAAGTGCTTAAAAGTAATTGACTATTCAGTGCAAATTGATTTTATATTTGTATCGTTTGCCTATTTTCTAATATGTCGATTTAGTGTTCCGCCGACACGGCGGTTGTTATCAGTTTGCAGTGTTGACCGCTTGCCCGGCAAAGGTTCAGCAGTTTGGTGAGTGCTCCATCGTAAATGGCGCCGCCAACCCGGGATCAGCTGGCTTTGACTCGGTGACCTTTGATGACGCGGAAGAGGAGCGAAAGTTTTGTTGGTATGTAACAATCAGTAACAACAAAATGAATGGAGTTTTTTTTACAAAATGACACAGAATAATATACTGTCTTTTACCTTTTTTCCAGCGCCTTTAAGATGCTTTTTGAGTGCAACAAACGTGCTCTAGAAACGTACTGCACCGATGAGGCGGTCAATGTACTGTACGGGAAGAACGTCGGCGTCATGGTCAAGCGGATGCTTGGAATGGATGAGAACGGAAACAACGGAGTTTTTGGCCTGTCTCGCTGTGCCGCGTACAGTGACACACACTGCCAACCACCGACCATCACCGGAAATTCTCCTTTTGACAGTGGAAGCAGTAGTACAAGTGACCAAAAACAAGCACTCATTCAGCTAAACACTATGGAACCGCTAACAATTGACAGCTTTGCTCTGACGACTACCCGTGCTGATGATTACGTTTTTAGAGATTCAGAGAACAGTTCACCTTCACCTCCACCACCTCCGGTTAGCTCAGGTGGAGAGGGCGTCTTCCTTAGTCACGTCTCAATTGTCATTTTTCTTGTTGGTCTCTTTGTCATTGGCTACATTTTCCTCTATTATGGCTACAAACGTTTTCAGGATTAACTTGACGGTGGAAAACCAATAATAGCAGTATTAACAAGGTAAAGCACACAAATAAATGCAACAATACAACTACGCACAATCAACGACAGGGTACAAACGTAGAAAATTAACATTAGTTTACAATTCCCAAACACTAACTTTGACTGTTGTTGATGTATACAGATGAACAGCAATAAAAATTTCAATTTTATTTGAAAAATATAAATGTGCAACTGTGTTTAGTTACGCATAAAAAATATGAAAAAACACAAAGTAATGAAAAGTGAGCTCAAAAACTACAAACACACATTTTACAAGCGCACTTTAACTCTGTGCCATGAATTGTTGAGAAAACCAAGATAGTTCCAAATATCACGAGCATCCCTTGGCTGAGTGTTGTAGCTGGAGTCAATAGCTCTACAAACAATCTCATACTCTTTTCCCTGATGAAGTGACGACCCCGGTTCCAAAGGTAAATCAACCTATGCAATGGAAAGAGATTAGAGAATAGCAGTACAAACACTCAACTAAACCCTACATACCTTCCAGGTGGTCCACGAGTAGGTGTGGTGAGGTGGCCTGGACGGCTGGTCCTCTCTGCTCAGCTCCGCGACGTGCCAGCTCTGTCCGCCGTCGAGTGAAAGGTCCACTCGAATGACTGCCCGTCCGCCGCCACTCCACGCGTACCCGGCCACCTCGATGGAGGGCAGCAGGAGGAGGTGTCCACTGTCATCCTCAGACTGCCTCCACCTGATCGGCACCGTCGTCCCTGAGGTGGGCGTGCAGATGGCCGACTGAACTGGCAACTCCTGAATGGCAAAGGCAGCAGAGAACTGCTCCGCAGAGGCCGACTCGACGCTGGGCGGGAAGCTTTTGTAGTCGTTGCGCTGCCAGTGGGAGGTCGACTTCTCGGTGGAGAGGACGATTCGCCCCAGCCACTTCACATTGCGGGCACCGACGATGCCTGGCGCCACCAGGCGCACTGGAAAGCCGTGGTCGGGCGGAATCGGTCGGCCGTTCATTTCATAGGCGAGAAGAAACTCGTTCTGAGGGTCCAGTGCCTGACAACAAAAATCGACATGATAATATTTACTTCTTTCCTTTTTCATTTCTTACCTTTTCCGCTGGAACACTGGCACCATACGGCGTCGCCGTTGCGTTCAAATCCAGCCCCTCAAATTGAACATGTTCAATGGAGTCGTCGGTTAGATTGCAGCCGCAGTACTGGAGAACGTCGACCAGCTTTGCACCGGACCACTGCTCATTGCCAATTGCACCTGCGCCCCAGGGAACGCCTTTTACTTCTTTTATCTGTTTGTAAATTTGTTTTTTAAAACCTTGTTTGTTTTGAAAATTTTAAGTAGTTTACCTCATTAAAATCATCTCGTCGATTACCGGCACACTGAATTACACTGGTAACAGTGTGTTTTGAAAATATATTTTTAATCTGATCTAGTGTAAGCGTGCAGCTCTTATTCAAAGTTAAACCTTCAATTTCAAGCTTGTATTTGGCAGGATTTACTTTAGGAACTGCTTTATGATGGCTTATGAAAAAGTTTTCGCTGAAAAAAGGTAAAGTTTTAAATCAGAAATTTTTTTGCTGACTAACTACAACATACTTTGAAGAAATCCAACTTTTCATTAGCAATTTAGGCGGCGTTTCAGCATTATATGGTTTTTTGTAATGAATTATGAGGTCAGAGTTTCGATCTTTGGGAATATACTCAGCTGAATCAACGGAAACAATATCACTTGCTTTATAGCGGTTTTCAATTTGGAGATTACCAATACGAAACGATTCTAACAATTCAAATACTTGTTGTGTTTTGTGTTTTCCATACACCTGAATTAAGTAAAAAAAGTTTGATTGTTTCTATTAAAATTAAAACTCAAATAGATAACACACACTTTTAAAAAAGGTTCCACCGAACTGCCAGCTCCGAGAAGAATGTTATTGCCACAACTTTTTTATAACGAAGTTTAAAAATTTGAAATGTATTTAGCCAGTGAGCAAATTTTGGAAAATTCACTGAAACTAAACAGTAATTTAAAAAATATATCTTTGTAATATTCCAAAACAACATTATGTTCATATAAACAAGCTTTAATTTTTTTTAACAAAATGTTTGAAAACAATAAATAATACTCCACAAACTACAATAAAATTAGCCATTTACACCACCGCCTACAACTACTCTTCTTGGTACAACAAGTACCGATCGTATCTGGCAGTTTTGTGCACATTTTTGAGGTGCTTTTTAGCATTTGCCAGCCATCCACCGATGTAAGAGCAGCCGGAAAAGGTGCAGCGATAAGGTTTTAGGCCCCAGTGCACTGAAACAAGATGATCTTTCAGCTGAAACTTGTCGACTTGATTAGGACAATCAGGACAAGCTACTTTGCCATTTTTAGTTGTTAGGTAGGCAGGGCACTTTTTCTTTAAGTAGTCCTCCGCTTTAAAAGTCAAAGTCGCTTGCTTTTGTGGCGTTTGGGAAGTTGAACTTGAAACAGTGGTCTGGCTAGATGTAAAGGAAGACTGGTCAGCGCCTTCTTCAGTTTGCACAATGTACTGACCAGGATTGACCTTGTGCTCCCTCTTTGCGTGATTGTATGCATTCATATGCCATCTGTTAGTGTACTGACAATCGGGAAAACTGCAGCAATAAGGCAGGTTTTTGCGCAGGTGAACTATGTTAATGTGGTCCCTCAGCGTAGTCTTCTCGTAGGACGTCGAGCAGACAGGACAGTTCAGTTTATCAGTTTTTATAGCAGACATAAAGGTGATGGAAGTAAAGAAATCCTCTGCTACAGCAGTCTGCTTTGTATTAGGAGTGAAAGTGGAGCTGCCAGAGATGGCTGTGGTTTGAGAAGTTGAAAAGGAAAAGGGGTCAGCCTGGTCAAGGTTGTTGTTGTTGCTTTTTCCTTGATTGCAATCCGCTCCCAAAGTGTGTTGACGTTTGGGAATGTTTGGAGAAAGATCACTCGGGCGTTTTTTGGCATGGCGGTTAATACTATCGTTTTTAGGTGTTTTTATTTTCCTCAATAATGATTCGTTTACAGAAGTTTCCAACGATTGATGATCTTGAGAAGTGGTAGGAGGAGAAAGAGCAGCACTGTTGACCGTGTTGGTGAGATCAGATCCATCAGTTGCAGTAGCAGTATCAATGTTGTTGTCAGCTCGCTGTGGCCGAATTGTTTGGGAGTTCCCTTTCTGAACTGTATGTTCATTGGCAACGTTATCATCTTCTAACACAATCACTTCTACTTCGTCAACTTCATCGTTTTCTTTTTTAATGTTCGTTCGTACAGGCATCTCATCAGTTTTTCCTTTTTGAAAACGGCTCATTTTTTCTTCTCCTGCTTCCCCTTCTGTTTCCTCCTCAAAAGCCTCCATGACCTTATCGTAGATACCCTCTGAGTAGAGGACTACATTGCCCTCAGGGTTGTCGTCGATAAAGAAGGGCCAACTTTCCGGCCATGAAATCGGTCGGTGTCGAAATTCAAAGAAAGGACGTCTTTCGGCGTCAAAAAGGACGAGAACGATGCTTCGGTCAAGCGTTGGCAGTGGAAAGTTGTCTCGGTACTGGCTTCGCAAAATCGCCTTCAGTTCTCTCACTTTTTGAAGAGATTTTTTGCTGTTTTGGTTAGTTGCAACACTTGGATACAGCTCATCGTGCAACGTCTTCAGGCACTGCAGCTGATAGGTCACATTTAGGTAGGTGTCCTTTTTTGCACGGCGACGCTCCAAAATTGTTTTTGATTTTGGAACGACCCGTGTACTTTGTATTGGTCTACTCATCTTGGCGCTAGCTTCACAGTTAACAAAGTAAAAACACAGTTTGATTAGAAAATGTCATTAATGACAACAGTGTTTGTTTACCTTTTTAAAAGCACAATAACAAAACAGCAACAGAAGCAAATCTTTTGAATCTCTCAAAGATAAATTCTTTTTTGTTTGTTTTCACTTAAATGTTGATTCAACCTTATCTTATTCTCAAATTGAAACACAAAATAAAGCAATACGCTTTGAAAGTTTAGATGTTTTGGGTAGCAAGCAGCTGTTGTTTACTGGCCGATTCCATTCATTGACAACGTATTCTTTGCCGGGAAAACACTGCACAATTGAAAACTGTACTTTTGGTGGTGGACTGATAAAAACCACCAGCCCTGTGACAGTAGGCGTGCTGTCTTCAATCATTGCCCTTGTAGATATGACCGTCTCAGGAGTGATCACTACTCTGAGCAGTCTGTTCCCTGTCATCTTCAGTCTGACTGGCAAAGTGCTGGCTGTTGTTGGCCAGGTAGTGGCCGCCAACTTTTCTGTCCTCTTAAGTGTGCTCATTTTGGTGGGCACGCTCATTGTGGACCTTGTTAAAAACGGTTTCACCCTCGGCCCTGAACTGGTCTCCCTTTTGCTCAACATCGTTTCCATGCTGGCAGAACTGCTCACCTAGGTGGTGATGTTGTTAGTGAACTCCGTCAAATCTTTTCTAAAAACATATGCCAAAACTTTTTTACTTATGTTACTTTTATTTTAAACAACAACAAAAATGGTTTTGATAATTATGTTTTTATTTTGTTTCACATGTTTGATTGCATCTTTTGTTACATTTTTTGCACAAAAAGAAACTTGGAAGATCTGTAACAATGTCTAATTTAGCAAGTAGCTCTTCAAAAACATAAGTCAATTTAATAATTGTAGCAAATAAAAGAAAACATCGGATCACTATTGAATGAAGAGGAATAATTAGTTTAACATAATCTAGAGGCACCCAAACAACAAAAAATAAAGAAAAAATGCTAAACACAATAAAACAAAACAAAAAAATTAAAAAATTGATAAAAGTATTATTTTCTAAGAAAAAACTTAAATAATTGAAATGAATGACAAACATTGTATTGTTTTTGTAATGATCATTCCATTTTTTATCAACGTGTGCCACTTTTATTTGAGGATAATTTGTTTTTGTAAACATTTGATTAAATATTTTGCTATTTTTATATAACTCAGCATTTAGAAGGGGCATTTTCTTACTTATAATAAAACTAGTTGCATTTGAGCATTTGTCATTTTCGATGCACAAGTTATACAAATGGCGTATTTCATCAGACGAAAAACGGTATACAAAACAATCTGGTTCATTGTAAATTATACCTCCTGCAGCATGAACTTCAGTTTGTACTTTGCAGTAAACCGGTGTGTCATTCGTATTAATTGATTTTTTTAAAATTGAAATATTTGGAATAAATGTTATAAAATGACTATAAAACATATCAAAATTCCAAAAAAATCCCAATGCATTTTTTAACAAATTTTGATTAATCCAATTAAAAAACGGAT